TGTGGCTTAACTCTCTGGTGACAAGCTTCACATGTATGGTGTAAACATTGTACACACATTACGTTGTCAGTTTGAATTGTCAAGCACACAATGCAGCGTATGTCTAACTCGTACTCTATTTCATTACGAGTTATCTTCAAAAATTTTTATGTCGTTACACTTCTCTATACACTTTGTCATTTGTTCGCATGGTTCAACTATTGGATGTGAAATAACTGTATTTCCAATTGCCATCATAACAATGAAGCATAAAAATGGCTAGCTTTATATATAAGAATCATTTCATTTTGAATAAGCATAACTTTTGGTATATGAATAAAGTAATCATACATTTCTGTCATGAAATGTATTTCCTTAAACAAACTTTAACGTTTCATTTGTTAACAGCACCAAAGATGTGACAAATTTTGACATTTTTTTTTATTAAAATTTTGAAACATCTTTACATAGATGCTGCTCTTTGTAAAATATGTAACTGAAATAGCCTCCCTTTTTAGATGAATTTTCAAAGCTAGTTATATTTAGGCATATTGAACTAAATATAGTTTTCTATTTAGTAACATGATATGGTTATGACAGTCGACAGTGTAATTAGTTTCGCTTTAATTGTAATTTAATCGATCTCTTATTTAAACTAAATACTAAAACAAAATCAATGGTAAAAACATGGAGTTATGTTTTACTTATATTATCGCTTGTTATATACTGCCATAATTAATCCAGTATAAATAAGAAAGGATACGAGATCTCCTTACATTTGTGAATCTGGCGTCTCGGGTTCGATTCCTGTACGCTGCATGTCATTTTCGTTTTGACTGATTGCGATCATTCGCACTGTACTGCAAAAGTTGATTATTTTCATTCATGTTCGTTTATGAATGACATAACTAAACAAGACTTTTGATTATTAAAATAATTCTTATCAAAATAAAAAGACGGTTATGAAGATAATCATATTGATCATAATTATTATTCATGTCACAATTTGAGAACTGACTGGATTTTCTGTCATTCTTCATAGAAAGGTGATTGACAAGGTTTGTCTTACATGTAAATTAAAAGAAATTCGCCTACTTCCGTAAAACAATTCAGTGGTAATTTATCTTGCAACTTTAAATTTACAAATCATTCCCGAGAAAAAATTTATACAAAACAGGACAAACAAATGGGGTACATGTAGTTATTCTATAAAAGTATCAGAAAAAATATACATGTACATGTAGTATAATTAAGCTATTGATATATAATAAACATATTTTTAATCAGTTTTTTTTTTCTTAATATCCAAACTGATAACCGTGTTCTGATAACTGTGTTAAAGTGAATTAAATGTGGCTTACTGCCGTGAACCGGAGGGTGAACTACCTATTCCAAATCAAATCAAATCAAATCAAAATATATTTATTGTCGGTATACATATATAACATTTTACAAAACATAAGCTATGTATAGCTTTTGACCGACATACATGCATATAAACATAAAACTCATAAAAGAAGCACATTAAGATAAACTTTGAAAGACAAATGATAAAAGACAAGTTAAATTACTATAATGTGGGATGTAGACACTAAATGTTATAATTTAAAGTAAAATAATAATAATTGATAAATAGTAATGATATGCTAAGGATATGCTTAAAAGATCTATACTGTATCATAAGTGAATAAAATAATATATATCTAGATAAAAATGCGGAACATATTAATTAGCACATACATAAAATAAGTTTACATTAAAAGTTGGTGGATTCTGCTGATCTTGACCCAGGCCTAGCCTGGACTGCTATAAAAGAAATGAAATAAGATATTGAAAATGAAAAGGATCACAAAAATTTGACCACTAATTAGGTTTTATAAATAAAAATCAAAAAAATCCCCAATTCAAAATTTGCAAGAAGTGATTAGCAGCCTCCTCAATAAGCAAACTTCGCAATAAGCTGACAATAAGCAAACAAAATTCAAGCACACTGGAAAAATAATACATGTACATAACATTTATGTTGAGAATATTAACAAAATTTAAGCCAAATATGTAATAAACAGATACATGTAAGTAAGCAGCAAAACAAAAGAAAGCAGGCAAGAAACAGAACTGAAGATGGAGCTAAACTATAATGCAGGTTTATTGACAGAAAGTACATGAGCAACTCTCTCCATTCCATGCACCAATTAAACTTTTAAATTGGTCATAATTCACTTCCATTCTGAGGTGTTGAGGAAGTGAATTCCATAGTTTAGGTGCATAGGAACGAAAAGAGTTGCTGCCATAACTGGTGGTTCTTACCTGAGGGATAATGGCTACATTTTTATACCTAAAATTAAAAGAATGAGTTTGTATATTAACAAGATCATGTAAGTATGTTGGTCCTTGTTTATGAATAATTTTATGAATTTCGAGGGCTATAGTTCTGATTCGTCTTAATTTTAAATTTGGTAGTTTAGATTTTATTAAAAGTGAGTCATAGTCTGATTGATAGTCATCATAAATGAATCTTAATGCTCTTTCTTGAATTTTCTCTAGTTTTTTTGTGTACTTTTCTCCACAGAAGTGCCAGGTGACAGGGCAGTAATTAAAGTTTGATAGTATAAAAGAGTAATATATGTTCAATTTCCCCAATTTACATAATTTTTTACCTATTCTCTTTAGCACGTTTGGTTGTTTTGAGGCTTTTTTACAAATGTCAGAAAGATGATTATCAAATTTGAGTTTAAAATCAAAGGTTACCCCTAGAAGTTTAACAGATTCATCGCATTGGATTGTACTATCATTTAAATTGAAGCTTATATTTTGATCCCTAGTTTTTTTACCAATAGCAATAGCCTGGAATTTGTCGGGGTTTGCTTTCATATGATTGTCCGAAAACCATTGTATTAATGACTGACTATCTGACTCTAAAGATTCAACAACATTGTCAATGTTTGTGTCACTGCATGATAAAGTGTTGTCATCTGCATAATTATAAAGATCACATTTGTGTACAAAATCAAAAATGTCATTTAAAAATATGTTAAATAATACAGGGCCTAGAATAGAACCTTGAGGAACCCCTTTATAAATATCTTTGAAAGAACTTAAATTAGATCCAAGTTTGACGCATTGTTTCCTATTTGTTAAATAATTAGTTAATAAATCTAGGGCATGGTCGGAGACCCCATAACATCTAAGTTTCATGAGAAGGAGGTCATGGGGTAGGCAGTCAAAGGCTTTTGACAAATCCATTAAAATAGCTGCTATGTATTTATTTTCATCCAGTGATCTTTTCCAGTCTTCAGTAATTTTAAGTAGAGTGCTTTGACAGCCGTAACCTGGTCTAAAAGCAGATAAGTAAGTATTAAAATGGTCATTAAAAAAGTCAGTTAGTTGGGTATTAATAGACCTTTCGAAGATTTTAGATAAAATTGGAAGGATACTAACAGGTCTGTAATTACCTTTATCTAGAGTACTATTTTTCTTATGGACCGGAACTACCTGAGCTATTTTAAGACTATCAGGAAGGATGGATGACTGAAAACTCAGATTAACCATATTAGTAATATGTTCCACGACTGAATGTTTAGACAATTTTAAAAGTTTAGCAGATATGCCATCTTGACCGGTTGCTTTTTTAGATGATAATTTATCAATCTGTTTACTAATGAAGGAATTATTTACAGGTTGAAAATTGAGTTGTTTATCAGATTTAAGATTATTTCTTATAGAATTAAGGCTAGGGTGATTGTTGTTGATTGGTATTGAGTCCGCACCAATGTCCTTAGCAACATGTACATAAAATTCATTAAAAATATCACACACCTGGGACTGATCACTTACTAGAATATCATTTTCACATAAAATCATATCCTTTTTTACAATAGTACCTTTATTTGTTAAAAATGGTTTAACAGTTGGCCAAAATGATTTATTTTTACATCCACCTACACATCTCTCTAAAAAATATTTATTTATTGATTTTCTTTTAAGGCTTGTGACAAGATTTCTTTGTTTACGGTATTTTTCCCAGTTCTTTGATGTTTTGTATTTATTATATGTATTTTGTAACATGCGTTTCTTATAAATAGCTTGTTTTAAGGTTTTATTCATATATGGTACTGTCTGGCCCATTGAACGTTTACGTTTTAAAGGGGCGTGTTTGTCTGTGACTTCCATAAAAGTTTTGCTAAAATTTGTGTATGCCTCGTTTACATTTACAGTGTTCTGGTTTAAGTATGATAAATTAGTCTGTAAATCCTCATTAAATTTTTCAATGTCAAAATTTTTAAAAGATCTATAATTAATCCAGTTTGGTTTTTTACTTTTAGTTTCATCTTTTAGCTGAAATGCAATCAGATTGTGTACATCACTCAGTCCACAATTAAAATTACATATTTTCCCAAAAGAAGAATGGCTATTAGTTAAAATCACATCCAGCAGTGATGGTATACCATTTTTAGTAAAGCAGGTAGCCTTCTTAATTAGACTCGATAAGTTAAAAACATCAATAATATCGTTTGAAGGAGCACATTTGGTTGGATCAAGTAAATAAAAATTTAAATCACCTAGTAAGACATATTCATCATACTTAGAACTATATTTATCTAGAGTTGTCATGCAGTTTTGTTCAAAAGTTTCATTTGACATAGATGGAGGTTTATATGCACCCATTAAAAGCCATTTCTTTTTATTTAAGATTACCTCTATGAATATAGATTCTATATCTGTAAATTCGAGATTTGATTTTCTATCTCCAGCTATATCTGACCTTAAGTACACTGCAATCCCACCACCTTTGTCATTTCTGTCTGCTCGCCACAAGTGATATCCGTTAACCTGCCATTGTGCGTCCGGGAAAGAACCATCTAGTTTTGTTTCTGCAATAAATAAAATATCAACAATATTTTTAATAAGAATTTCTTTTAAAAAGTCAAATTTGTTCCTTAAACTATTAATATTTATATATGCACATTTGAATTTATTTGGACTATTTTTTAATATTTATAAGTTCATCAAAAATAGCTGGAATGTCATTGTCTTCACAATCCGATAGTATTGAAGAGTCTATGCTGATGTTCGGTTCGAAGTATTAGTCACTAAAATGAAACGTGTTACAATTTCTGCACAACCAGGGTTCGTCGTCGTTACTTAGTTTGACGTATTCACTTGCTGAGATTAGTAGCACATTTGATGTGCCACCATAAGTAGCATGCCTCGCAGTACACTGCACGGTGGTTTTGAAGCTACAGGCCTGTAGCAGCCTCCACAGGGAAATTTAATGGGCCCTGGGTTAAGGGCAATGTCTCCAGAAAGCTGAATAATCAATATTTTAACACAAAAACGAAAGTCAATTGGTATTGCTAGATTTCCCCTTGTATACTGGGTGTGGTAGAATAGTTGATGTAGAACATTTGTTTGAAATCCCTGAAAAGTCCAGTTACATTATCTTACATCTTTAAATTAGCTTGGTTTTTATTCTTACCAAAAACGTTTGTTTGCCCAAGTTGCAATTATAAATCATAAATCGTTTAATTATACATAATCTTTTTTATTTTGAAAGATTTAATAGGATAGATCGATATACGTTTTGGAATATAGGTAAATAACAAATGTATAAGGATCATTAAAAATGCACAATCGAATCATAAATGAGATCTTAAAAGCGGACTTCAGTTATATTCTGCCGGAAAAACAATTCGGTGTTGTCTTAACACCCTGTTCAAACTAAGCATTTCTATAATGTTATTTTGGAGTAGTGCATCGTACCTTCAAAACAGCGTTCCGATCGAGAGCTTTAATAGCGCCATGACCGGTGCCGTTCGTTTCTAAGTGTACGGAAATGGTACGTTCAAGTACAGGAGCTGTTGTCTTAGACGCTTGATTTACAGTGGATCTTTTAGTGCTGAAGATTTTCCTTAGCATATTCACTGATATTCGTCTTCCTTGTAAGTGTCACGTATTGAAAGACATACAGGGTATTCTATTCCATGCTCTGTAATATGTGTTAAAGTTAATATTAGCATTTATTTCCGTAAAATGTTTAATTTTGCGATTAAAATTCAATAATATTCATAATCGCCAGGACGCTTATTGAATTTAAGTGCATGTTTTGCACTTGCAGCCATTCTCCCATAATTGAAGCACTTTTAAAAAAATGAAAAATCTGACTTTCATAAACAACGTTTTCTATGATTTGCTTTTAATGTTCAATACCTTGGACAGATTGTGTGGAAGTTTAACACACACCATTCGCTCCATTTTTATACTGAAAGCTTTTGAAGTTTTAGTTACTGAATTCCTTGTCGGAACATGTAGTCAATATTACCATAGGATTACTTTGGAGGTATTGTTTTACTAACATTTTTTAAATTAAACAATCCAAAAAGAATATGCAAATTGTAAAGTTGAAGACCAATGGTTACCCTTTAGAAAAAAAACTGTTATGCCATTATCTTATTCTGAAACTTGTTTACTTCGTATTTGAAAAGCTTGTATAAGCAAATATTTTCGTAACTTAATATTGACATTGTTTTCGATACAAATGCACAAACAAATACCCTGTCATAAAAGTTATCGAATTATATCTAAAATAAAGAAGCAGAAAACAAATCATCATAACTATTAATTCCCGGTGTATCGTTTACCCAAAAAAAAACTTCGGGCCTTCACAAATGATCATTCAAAAGAGACCTTATGATCTGTTACGGAACATAGGTGAAAAATTATAAAAACATAGGATTTAAAACTTCAAATTTTTCACTCTTTAAAATTACTTAAACAATTTAAATGTGGCATCTTCACAAACACATCAATCTTGAAAAACACTGTTTTCAATTAAAAAATAACATCAACAGTTTATTTGTGAGTAGTGCAGGAAAAGATATCTGTTACGGAACATATGTTTAAATCATAATATAACCCTAATACACATTGAATGGTGTAGACTGGCAGTAATTGGAGTTAATAATACAGTAATAGAGTGATTCAGTTCAAGCACAGCAAAGTTGGATACAAGGGATTTGAAAATATAAAAAGTCATAATCCTAGCTATTTTCTTAAGGGAATGCATGAATCACAGATACAAATCAATGTATATTTTTGCTCATATTCTATGCATAGTTATAACCAGTGCAAACAACACAAAGACAAATTGTGGATTGATTTAATCATATCAAACTTATAATTTTTAGGAACAGTAATCATGATAAAGATCCGTTGTTGCTGTTATTGGGCTGTGGTGCTGCAGGACTTTGTGCTCTAAGACATCTAACAAGCAGGCCAGAATTGTACGAGGCTACAGGTTTGAAACAATTGCCAGGAGTGGCGGTACTTGGAGGTACACGGATACTGTTGGGACATATGACAATGGTTGCCCGTACAGTTCCAGTAGCTTACAAAAATTTAAGGTATATAACATATCAGAATGAAAAAACTTACTTCAATTAGTGGTCACCAAATTCTATGATATTGAAACATACAATATTTATGTTTGTCGGATTGTTTTATAGGGTTATAAAGCTATATTTTATGTAATATTTTTAAGAAATTTATCATCAGTAAAATTTATATGTGTCCATTATTCTTCTGGATTCTCGAATGAGTTCTACACTAGATTTCCTCTGTTACTTAACACACCATGAATATTGTATGTTTAAACAGAATTAAATGTTTCCGAAATAAAATATTATTCTGATTTATTTTAAGTAGGGTTCTGTCTATTTAAACAATGAGTTTTGTGCATGTGCCATTCGTTTTTAAGGAACTTTACTACCATATTTATTTTCATATAAACATTTTGTGAGTATTCTTTAAAAAAAAATTCAACAATGATTTTTGCAGCAGATTATATATCTTTATACAACTTAAAAACAATTCTTTTGTAACTATAGAAAAAAAAAAAATAAGTCTCCCCCTCCTGGACACTAACCAGTACTTGTGTCATTCAAGGAAACATATTGTTGAGCTGAGAAGGACTTAAACCCATGATTTTAAAGTTTAGAGATATAACCTTAACCCCTAGACCAATACTCTCTTTACTATGTTCAATAGTATAATATTGCTGAACTGATATTTTAGTTTAATTATATGAGACACTTTGTAATACTGTATTTGGCAAAATTATGATTATATAAATATTTTCAGCTATTTCTTTGAAAAGTTTCAGAAATGATTCTTTGAAAAAGAGTAAAAATTTATTGATGCAATAATTGCAGTACAGTTTTCAAATCTGACTTACATGTAACATTTTGTTAGTTTAGAATTAAAGGTCACAATTCAAAACTTGGGCTAAGATTATTTTTTTGCAAAAACAAAAATTCAGATTCTTTTTGAAATGAAAAACAAATCATTAAAACATTAATCAATATCCATTTTATTATGGACATAGAAATTTCTTTTATCAATAAACAATATTTGATGTCAGTGTTTTCTTTACATATGAAATAAATAGTTGAAAATTTCAGATAGCAATTTCTAATGATGCCATTGTCATCATTGTTTGTTTTCAGAACAAATCTACCAAAAGAAGTGATGGCATTCCCTGGGTTTCCATTTCCTAGTCACCTTCCATCTTTTATAAAACATGAGGAGGTCTTGCAGTATTTGAAGGATTACTCTCAGTTTTATAAACTAGAGAAAGCTATCATGGTATACTCTTACATTTCTCCTTTTCTTGTATCAGTGATTTTCGTCTTCTATATTTTCCCCTAAAATTGCTATATTTTCCCCTGAATTGCCCTATGCAGCTAGTTGATAAAATTAAATTGGCTGAGACTGGAAGACAAAAAACTGGCCCTATAGAAAAGCCCCTGCTATGTACCATGCATGACAAATTGGATTGAAATTGAAATTTATAAAATGTGTGGTAGATTCCATTCTCAGTGTGTTGGAATTTGATTTCAGATTTTCCACCTTTTGTGATTTATCATGCAATATTCTCCCCTCAGAAATTCACAGGGGTTGTTTTGAAAATTGAAAAAATAATCATGTGTATTTCACTGAGAAGGGAATAAGTTTAAGTCTGGAGTTAGAATACTAAGCATAGAAAATAGTACTGTTATTATTGTTTAATTTATACAGAATTGTTCTATCTTTTAGATTGCGATAGAAAGCTATAAGCCTTTTCTGACAAATTTTCTGAATCCTTTTAGTGGAACCAACCAGTACTGAGCAGTGAATGTAAAAATTATCTAGCTCAAGGAAACAATGGACATGCCCCCGTGATTGGGTTTTTAACCCACACTGACTGCAATTGTTTAGAATTATTTGGAGCCACGGCATGACAAAACCAAAACATTGCGTTTGCGACCAGCATGTGATCGCACCCAGCCTGTGCAACCGCACAGTCTGATCAGGATCCATGCTGTTCGCTTACAGACCCTTTTACAAGTAGAGAAACTGCGTAGCGCGAACAGCATGGATCCTGATTCAGACTGCACAGATGCCAGGCTGGTCTGGATCCATGCTGGTCGCCAAACACGCTCTATGTTTGGTTTTGTCATGGCATGGCTCATTTGTCTGATATATAACCATTCCCTAATGAGCCCGACTAAGATTTAATGAGTTTGTTGTAATTATGATTTGTGAATTACTGTATAGTGAACATGATTTGAAGTTGGTTTGGTTTAAAAACATAATTTAGTTTAAGCTCGATTCCGAAAACAAGTTCTTGCAACTTTTGATCCACTTCCTGGAACCAGCCCAGTACTGGTGTCTTATGAAGAAACATGGTCGTGGACTTGATTAGGACTCAAACCATGTTTTACTGGGTTGAAAAGGCAGACACCCTTAACCACTAGGCCAACTGCTGCCCTTTTGGTTTGGAGTTTAAAGAATAGCCTTAATAGACCTTTAGATTAAGCTGCGTATATTGAAATTTAAAGATCTTCAGTAATTGATACAAAACTGGCATGCTTTATATCTATTAAATATTGATTCGCTAGGTTTGTTGTAAACAGTATTCACAAAAAATTAAAGTAATTTCTGTGAATGATGTTATTTAGTTATAAGCATACAAAATGTTGATACTGAAAACATATTAGCTGCCAAAGCAATTCTTGCCTAATTTGTGAAATTTATAGGTTTTATACTGTACTCTCTTTTATTTCCCATTAAAATTATTTTGAAATGTTTTTTGAAGTAACTTGTTTTTCAAATTGTTTTCTTTGTTTCTACATTCCAGTTTTGAAACAAAAGTTGAAAAGACGTAAGTCCTGTTGAGGCCAATAACAAGCTTCGAATGGAAAAATGTAATATTCTCCCAAGACTCAAAAAAACAAAGATTTTGATGCCTGTTTTTTGTTTTGCAATGGGTAAGAGCCTCTTTTTTTAGGATTGCCCAATTTTACAGACCATTTCAAGTTTTTTACATTTGATTACCATATTTTAAAA